TGTGCATGCACAGTTGGCTTTGCAAATGCTCTGTATGCATAGAATATCACATTTGTCAAATGTGCAATAAACAATCGTATATATTTCAACAATGCAATAGTTACAGCATCTACCAGAAGCGGCAGGACTATAACCAACAAAACATCTTGGGAAAACCTGGATGATCTACTACATTTGCTAAATATGTACTGTACTGTATCTCAAAATGCAATGGAAGTAATATAATCTGCATGCAAATTTAGCTTCAAATCTTGTATTTAACTATTAAAACAAAATTGCGACATACTTTTTCTTTCCAAAATGATAACGCAACTCACGAAATGAAACATGCAACAAGAAGTCATGTGACAAAACGGAAATGTATATCATTCCACAAAATAGGTTCTGTTTCACAACATTTCACCAAATACATTTTGAAACTGAAATTGAAACAAAATCTTAACTTATCTTAAATCTTAAAGGGGTCATATAATGCCATTTTTGTACAAGCTACTATGATTCTTTAGGGTCTAAATTAAAACTTTGTAATATACTTAAATTAAAAATTCTCATCAGTATTGTAAGAAAACACTTATTTTACCTGGTCAAAAACAGCTCTGTTTTCAGCACGCCGTTTCAGTGCATATGCCTTTAAATGATAATGAGCTTTGCTCATCCCGCCTCTCTGTTCTGTGCGTACACCGTTTGTAACACAATAACACAATAACCATAACGCATTGTTCAGTATAAATAAACGTGGGATTATGAATTATATTGAGAACATCATACATAGAAAACATGCCGTAATGTACCCTGAGTGTAAACCTTAGACGCATTCATTGTGAAGCGTGCAGCTAGCGATTTGCAAAGATTAATATAAATATTAATATAAAGTTTAATAAAACGTTACACTCACTTCAGTTGTTCTAGAGGTTCAGCAGGAACACGAATAGCTGGTACCGATCCTTTATTCAAGAGCAGCTTCTAAGCAAAACCAGCTTTATACTGACCCTTGTTTATAAAGCAGTCCACTGAGAAATGATTCACGCAAACATGAGAGCATTGACGTTGCTCGTGGGGAATATTCCCTTCGAAAACAAACTCAGCCACTGCGTCTTCAGCGGTTCGGATTTAGGAACATTAAAATGACTGCTGTGTTCGTTATTACACCCAAGAACAGAACACCACAATCGCTTAGACGCCATTCTGCTCATAGACAGTGCTCCAGCATATCAACAATGACCGCGCCGGTCCGCGCAGACTATGATTGACAGCTCCCTCACGAGCGAGGGCGGGTCTGTGTTGAAACGCTGCTGTCAATCAACAATCGTGGGAGGGGCGTCCGACCGTGTGACGTCACAAAATCGAACGGCTCAATTTGAGGCAGGGGAAAACATATAAGGAGATCAAAACAAAAACACTGGATGGATTTTTATCATTTTATGATGGTTGTGTACAGGCACTGCCAACACACATTTCAGTACAATCAACTTGTAAAAGTGCATGTACCATTATATGACCCCTTTAAAAACGTCTGTTTCACTGTGAGACTTCAGTAGAGTTCAGTCTCATGTTTTTCATGATTTTAAAGCCATGTAATCATGACTGCATGCGTTGCTTTTAAGCATGTTTATGCATATGCAGCAAGCCTTAAACTGACATAAACAGGCAGTCACACCCCGGCCTACTGCGAGATCAGGCCATCCAGGGCGTTTCCTCTCACCTCTTTACCATCATCCTTCACTTCATTGTCAAGACAGCTCTCTGAAACACACTGACTGATGCTCAACTACTGGTGAGTGCATTTCTAAACATTATCGCTTTCATTTTTGGATTATTTTACATACTGAGTTTCAGAGCATCTTCTTTACAGCTTGTAACAGCGTATTTGATAAAATTTCATTAAAATTCAGAAACGGTGCTATACATGAAGCCTTTCAGTAAATCCCCTTTTAAACTATAGGCCTATTTTGGCAATCTTTCTCTGTAGTTTAAGATTTTAATGAAAGACAAATATGTATATCTTAGTTATATAAGTTATATCTTATAATGTATATTCATGACATATCATCTGACTTATGAGCAAGCAAACAAGCGAAACTGTTCCTGATTCATGACCAACATCGATGCACATTTCATGACAGGAAACCACAATGAAGGATAAACAAGTTTGTATTCAACTCTTAATTCGTGTGACATGACAAAATAAAAAGCAGTAACAAGAAAACAAAACGTTCTTGTGTGAGATTTTAGACAATCCAGTCGAAACAGAAAGGTAATCTGGAACATAGCTTGCCATGTTACTATTTAGAATTCAAGAAGGATTGTGGAAAAAATAAACCAAACCCTTCTTGTATCAATCCCAACCACATTTTAACCATCGCCTTGAAGCTTATGTAAGACTAGTCTCATTATTCTAGTGCTTGTGGTCATGGTGGTACAGTCACCACTCTCGTAATGACCGCCTACATTGTGCAGTAAAAAGGATGACTTAAAGGCACATTGAAGTACATCGAAATGCACAGCATTATTCAATGTCGACGTAATTTCCACTTAAACAGGAAGACAGGGTGAGACATATCAAACAGCTCCTCCCCTTTTTTAAATAGCTCCTCCCCCTTTTAAAATAGCCAATAGAGTTTTGCTTATATCACAGCTCAGGCAGAGCCGTTGAGCTCGGTAAAGCCGCAGCTTCCTCCCAATCTCGAACCATTTCTCCTCCAAATCTACTCCATATCGCTTTAAAATATAGCATTTTGTGCTGAATTCAAATGGGTTCGATACGTTTTCTGGTCTGCGACGACTCGATCATATGATCCACTCTGTGCAATCGTATCTCTGGACCGGAGCTATGGTGGGTCGCATGACACTAACATGAAACCAGACTTCATTCACCCCAATGGAAAGCATATTTGAATCGTTCCGTATCCCCTAGTTTATTATGTGCCGTTCACCATGTAGAAAATAGTAAATGTGTGAACAAATGGCCGATTTCAGCCGCAGCTTCAGCATCTATTTATAATGTAGGGGCAGGACTTTTCAGATAGAGAGCATTTGATTGGACAGAAAATCTGATGATTTAGGATCCAAAATTGGATCCATATTGGCAGAAGTAAGAGACTGTACGTTTTGAATGCTTATGTCTTCTAAATGTGAATTTTGTCATTTTTTTGGAGCACACTAGCTTATAGATAACAGTAAGGCTAACATATTCATTCTAAAAGCCAAAAAAATGCCATTTTTATTTCAGGGGGACTTTAAAGTTCGACAAATAATCCAGTTTAAGCTGTTTGACATCAAGGACTAAAAACATCTTGATCAAAATCCCACAATAAGGTAAGCTCAAGCAACAAACTCTTATAGTTCAGTTCAAGCTATTTCTCACGACTGCCATGTAATCAAATCAATCAGCTGAGTTTCTACAATTAAAACATTGTATTAATATTAATATTGGATATTCAAATTAAATGACCCATCATTCCACTGATCAGCTCTACCAAACTTGGATGTCTTTTCCAGTAATAAACAAACACTGTTAAGTTGTTTTTATTGATACTGTGAAGCAGCTTTCATACAATCTGTATTGTGAAAAGCGCTATATAAAAAATAAATAATAATAATAATAATAATAATTTTAAAAAACCTGGAAATACCAGGAAATTAAAGTTTGTTTTATTAAAAGTTATATATAAGATTTCCATGCCTGAAAAAATACAATTAATAAAATCTTTTTTTTTTAAAGCATCCTGGTAATTTTCTATTATAAATTGCCAATACCTTTTCTAAGTACCAATATGCTCATTTGTATTTCATCAATATTTCATTGTCTAGAAATTGCTCTTAAAGGGATAGTTCACTTTGAAATTAATTTTTGGTATGTTTTAGCTTACCTCAAGGGCATCCAAGATGTAGGTGTCTTTGTTTCCACAGAAGTTTCAATTTTGATATTTTTAGGTCAAACCGTTCTTGTCTGTCTGTCAGTCATATAATGCAGGTCTATGGTCACCACCTCAAAGAGCATGCACAGAGAAGTCCAAATTAAACATGATTTAATGACTCGTAAATGTAAGTACACATTGATGGCCTAAGACACGAAACGAGCGGTTTGTGTGAGAAAACGAACAGTATTTATATAGTTTTTACCCCTTGTAACCACACCACAGCCACCGACCGAAGTGCCCGCGCCATCAGATCACTTGGACGTGGCTGTGTTTACAAGAGGTAAAAACGATATAAATACTGTTCGTTTTCTCACACAAACCGCTCGTTTCGTGTCTTAGGCCATCAATGTGTACTTACATTTACGAGTCATTAAATCATGTTTAATTTGGACTTCTCTGTGCATGCTCTTTGAGGTGGTGACCATAGACCTGCATTATATGACTGACAGACAGACAAGAACGGTTTGACCTAAAAATATCAAAATTGAAACTACTGCAGAAACAAAGACACCTACATCTTGGATGCCCTTGAGGTAAGCTAAAACATACCAAAAATGTATTTCAAAGTGAACTATCCCTTTAATGCAATCTCTTTTAACAATCCTAATCCAGCAATCACAAACGACCTGAAAAGGCATGGGAATTCATTGTCTTATGTGAACCTTGATTCAAGACAGGGATCTGCAAAAAAATCACTTGTCATGTCATGTGGCTCAAAATTAGTCATAGCCTAACAGCAGAAGTGTATATAAAGGTTGTCGGTCAAAGTTTCCTGTCATCATTAAGTATAGGCCTACCTATTTTAATCATCATTCAGTATACCCCTAATATCTAGTATAGTGAGTCATACTACAGTCAGGGAAGTGCGTTATGTTGTTTCCTAGGAGGAAATGTCTCCTCCTTTTATGGCGTATAGAAGTTTTCAATATCCGAATTCCGCAGAGTCTAGTCCGCTGACTGCAGTGACATCACGATTCACGAGGGGAGCGTCCCCTCAATCGCTGACCAATGAGCGTGCGCTATGCAAATGAGCTCGCGCAGGTTCCCTGAGTAGTATGCGCGCGCTCCTCCCGCTAGCGCTCAGAGTAACTACAGACTATCGACCCCATAACACACACACCGTTATCACTCGAATCCTGAGATACTCAGTAAAAACGGGCAAAATGCGCTTCTAGACTCATTTAAACGACAAAAGAAGAGTTTCTTCTGACCTGAACTCGGATTTTGTTTCTTACTGGAGTAACTGTAGAGCGGAGGACGCGCAAGATGAAGTACAAAGTAAGTGACTCTCCATTCATGAGCGCTATTTCCGTAAACTAACGTTATATCAGAACATCTGCTTACTATGGTAAAATATGTAGAATTTACATGTAGCCTATCTGCATCACACGTAGAGGGATTCCTGTGACTTTTTAAAATGAAAGAGCAACTGTTCTTGACAGATAGATAGATAGATAGATAGATAGATAGATAGATAGATAGATAGATAGATAGATAGATAGATAGATAGATAGATAGATAGATAGATAGACTACACAATATACAAAGAGGTATAAATTGCACATTGTACAGTTTTTGGGCATGTATTATTATTATTATGTGAATGTTCATCATTCAGAGGACATTCAGAGTAAATTCAGTGGAGGATGGTCTTAAAGCATCCTTCCTTTTTAGAACCAATTATATTTCACTAGTTTAATACTCCTTAACTTGACAACCCGCTGGCTCCAGAACAGCAGTAATTTGTGTGTGTAACCAACCATGCATTTATTGGATGGCTGGTATGATCCAAAAGCAAAGTGCAAATCACATCATTTATTACAGCCATGACACAAAAGCCCTCTTTGAGCTCTATTGTAGCGAGGCTTGTAATAAATGATGTGATTTACACTCTGCATTTTCAACTCAAGTTACTCTGAGCCACTTGAGGATATATGGGGCCATTCATTAGCCTGGTCTCCAGCCCCTTTTCCAATTTGAGCCTCACTGTGATTGTGTAATGTGATGTCTTAAAGCAAACAGCATGCATTTTGTTCAGAGTAACAGGGTTGCTGTTATAAGTGTTCCTGGTGGAGACCGAAAATAAAACCACTCCAGGATTTTATGTGCATGTCCATGTTTGATTTGTGCTTAGATTGCCCATACACTGCCAGGATTGTTTATTCTGAGGGTTTGTTTTATAGACATAATTTAAAAATGGTGAATAGACTCATTAATGAACTCTTTATCTAAATATCATTATACTTAGTTTTTTCACAGTTTATGGTATTTTGATTATTATCTAGCAAAGGAATCGTTCATATAGAAATTATGTTTTTGTGACCATTTTATATATATTTATATATAATATATATATTCCCTCTTGAGTTAGTGAGTTGAACTCAAGAACTGGATCTGGACAGTTTTGTGAATTGGATAAACTAAATCATTAAAAAAAGATTTGACTCCAAAAAAGAATTCATTCACAAATAGCCTCTTCGCTCATGAACATGCCATGAGAGCTAGGGTGTATGTCAAGATTTTTGTGTGGCTTTGTGTGATGAACATGTATTGTATGGCTTCAGAGCACTTGGAATATATTGCAGGAGGATTCTCATCGACCACTAATATGGTGCTTATTTCATCATTTTAGAGCTCGACAGCCCCAGACCTCATTCACTTTCAAAAGATTGGACAAGATTTTTAAACAAATTCACCTTTTGTGTAAAAGCTGTCATCCTTTCAAAAGTTTTCCCAGCTGATTTTTGGAGCACTCAGAAATATGGCTTAACTTTGGCCAAATCTGTACTTTCAATCCAAGTGCACACAGCGTGGGGGCAGCTTTTCATTCAAGAGAAACTTGGCTCTTGTGTGCAATTCCCTCCCCATTTGCATAGTCTTTGAGGCTTTCAGTCCTTTGGGAAGATTTGCTTCCTACTTTGGTAGGAGGATCGAGCAGCTCTTCCTGAATGGAATGCTTTTGTCTGCTTCACACTATCTGGGGAATGTGGAGTACTTGGCAAGTCACGGACTGTTAGCGCACATCAGACTGTTTGAATTCCTCTACAGTATATGACAATGAGCATCTCTTGCAGTCTCTCTCAAATGTACTTTAAGCTCAAAGATCTGTTTAATGACACACAATTAGGCATCAGCTCAGCTTCTGTAGGCTATATAGATTTCATTTGTCAGATATACTGTATGGATGGTACCATTTTAAAAGTTTGGTGTTGGTTTACTTTTTTTCTTTGTTTTTTAAAGAAGTCTCTTCTGCTCACCAAGGCAGCATGTATTTGATAAAAAAAACAGTAATATTGAGAAATATTATTACAATTTAAAATAACAGTTTTCTATTTGAATATATATTATAAAATGTAATTTATTCCTGTGATCAAAGCTGAATTTTCAGCATCACTACTCCAGTCTTCAGTGTTACATGATCCTTCAGAAATCATTTTAATATGCTGATTTGATGCTCAAGAAACAGTTATTATTAATAATCAATGTTGAAAACAGTTGAGCTGCTTTATCATTTTTTTTAATTTGATACATTATTTTACAGGTTTTTAATTAAAGTTCAAAAGAACAGTTTGAAATAGAAAACTTTTAACATTCAAATGTCTAATAATTATTTATATTAATTAAAAAAATCTTACTGACATTAATACATACCATTTTATAATGTTTTATTATAATTATTAATTTATTATATTATTTTACAATATATTTTTACAACATTAAATTATTTTCACAATATATTTGTATTTTTAATATATATATTTCCCCATGCAAATATAATGTCATAATATAATAGAAAAGCATCTTAATTCATTTATTCCTTTTGATTTTGAGATGACCTGAATCCTTCCTTTTGCGAGGTTCATCCCGTAACTTCAGAGGAAGTTGCATCAAAACAGATCCGATTTCCTTTAATCCTCAGTTGACACAGAGAGATCCTTTGTTTGGCTGACATTTCTGAAACTTTTAAAGCATCTTTACCTCAGAGACTGGTTTAGTTTGCAGAGGAACTATCTCACAGGGTTATTCTCCGGGGGTATTTGAGGGTCAGGGCCACAGGGGCGAACTGGTCACGCTGTTGTTGTTTCTGACCCAGAACAACTGATGTACATCACTCTGAGTGACACACAGGCTGTTCTCAGCTCACGGTCTGATAACCAATCGTCAAACCCAACAGAGTGGACCGACAGCTGACAGAATAACAATACCTCCTCAGTTAAGATCGGAAGTTTAGAGATTATTTTAACCAAACACTCTCAAGTGGTTCCTTTAGGGCAGTGTTTCCCATCCCTGTTCCTGGAGGCACACCAACACTACACATTTTCCAACTCTTCCTAATCGATCACACCTGAATCAACTCATCAGCTCGTTAGTAGAGACTCCAAGACCAGGAATAAATGGGTCAGAAAAGGGAGACATCCAAAATGTGCACTGTTGGTGTGCCTCAAGGAGCAGGTTTGGGAAACACTGCTTTAGGGTATCAAGAAAGCAGTCATGATGTGAAGTACCGTTTTTAGTTAAATATTAAGTTTTCACCGTTGCTGTTTTTCCACCTTTGGAGCAGCGAAGACACTAAACAGACTTCTTCTTTCAGTCTTAAGGGTCACATGGTCCACATCTTGACGTCACGCATCACAAAGGTCAGTCAGAACCCAGGCCTGTTCGCGTCAGTTATGTTTTCCAACAGGTGCGCAGGTGTGAAAAGATACACAAGGCGTAAATAATCCCCAAACAAGCAGACCTGTATGGCCTCTTATTAGATTTCAGAGCTCTAGACTGTTTATAACATAGACATTATAGGGATCGGGGAGCAGTTTGAGACTGTTACGCCATAGATTTTCCTTCGGGGGCACATCGAAACGAGAGCCGACCCCTCCTTCTCAACACCCAGACACACTCAAACGTCTGTACCCTGCTTTCCTGCTTTATTTTCACTCTTATGTAACTGTGGCACAAATAGCCTGACAAGCACAAAGAACTGATTAGGTGATGTAAACGTTCTGGGATTTTTTTTTTGCGTCTCTCTCCAGGCTGTAATCCAAGCCGAGGGTTTTGTTTGGAAATTTACATTGTTCTCAATCAGTCTGAGGGGAAATAATTGGGGGTTGCCCGACTGAAATGAAAAGCAATTGGGAAATACAAGGCAGAGAGTGATTTTGTGGTGTGTTTTGTGTTAAATTGTAGTTATCATCAAGGACTCCTGTAAGGAAAATCACAAAGGAGATCTCTTTAATATCTAATTTATCTGATTTTAAAGAGCAACTGGAAATTTTGCTCAAAATTTCCTAATGAAATTGACCCTATCTTATGTATCACATCTGGTGCTTCTGAAAACATTTGCCAACCCAGTGTCGGCACAGATCTGGCCCACATCTGGTACGTGTGGAATCCAGGTGTACCAGATGTGGGCCGCATCTGGGTCAACACTATGTTGCTGTCTGAGAAGAAAGTCAATCAAAACTGAGAGATCTCAATATGAACTCAAAAATGTCTCATCAGATTTGACCAAATTATCTAAGCTATACTATACACGTTCATTTTAATCCTCTGTACGCTGTACACCATCAACAAAAGTCTCATTTGTATTATTATTTCTTTAGACACATTGATTTTGTAGCTGAGAACACTATGAAGAACATTTCTGCGCAATAAAGTTTATCTTTGGGTGGGTGGGAAGTTATTAAATGTAAAAGGAACTCACTGAAAGAACATTACAATTTAAAACCGATCTCGTTCCTGAGTTTGAGGACTTTGGAGTATGAAGACTGTGTATGTGTGTGTGTCTATATATGCATGTGTTTGGTTTGTGTGTGTGTGTGTGTGTGTGTGTGTAGGCCACATCGGGGTGGTATTGTGCATAAAGAACACTTCTCAGCAGGCATTCCACATTCCCCAGGGTAAGAACAAGGGCTATTCAGAGAGCAGGTCTCAACCAGCGCTCCACAGCACAGCTCTGTCCTGTTTGAAAGACACGGACAAAGAAAAGAGACGATTCTGAAGGCGCCGAGAGCCCTCCTGCATATACGAACATTGGGGGGTTGCAAAGATGCATCAAATAAGGAACTGTGAACCTTTCAGAGCTGTAACCTTTATAGATGTTTCAGGGGACACATCCCCCTCCGTACTTAGATTAGAGGTCGACCGATATGTGCGTTTTACATTTGGTCCCCTTCGAGCCTGGATTTGTGTTTATATTCATGCATTCATATCTTCTGAAATTGCACAGGGATTTGTGTTTGACCTCTAAAACATGTCTTTTTTGCCTCTGCTTCACCACTGTT